GGCCTCGTTAGCCTCCATTTCTTCCTTGTAGGCTTTTCTATCGGCTGACGCCTTTTCTTCGTAAGCTGTCATTTTCTTCAGCAGAAGTTCCATCATCTGCTGCATGTCCATTTTTTTTTTGTGTAGGACGCGTGTTAAAGTTCGTAGTCACTTCTGACACCAAGCTATCACGTGTCTTGAGATCGAATCCCGTTGGTCACGTGTGTAAGTCCAGCTGTGCTGTGCTGTGTATCTTATGATTGGTGTGCTTCATGGCGATTTCCGTCTGTAGAGTGTGAAGATTTCCATTGATGAATGAAGTTGCTCCAGACAAAATCAGTGACTTTGTATGAAGCTGGTAGATGGTAGGAGCCCATGTAATGGAAATGTTACAGCAGCACTGAGTATCACAGTTGTGTGGATATTGACAGAGCAGAACGAATTTGGCATTGAGTCCAGATCGACATTAAGGAAGATGTTTAAAAATTTGTTTGTAGCCAGAGGTGGGACTGGGATTCATATAACCAGTCCTCTTTGCTTTTAATTTTGTTTTAACTGTGTAGTCTGTTTCACCATAGCTAAAACACACTGCAGTCTATGTGAAAACATATACCAGCACAGGAACATATGCAGTCATTCAGTCAGTGTGAATATAATGTAACACTACACCATGAAGAATTGTAGGGAGAATGGTAAATCGCCATGCTTCTTCAATGTTGGCACTGAATTTATGATAGTTAACCATGCCATGCTTTACCACTGGGAAAGATTCTTTTGTAAACACTGAGTAGGAGGAAATCCAATTATTTATGTTGCAAAAATACCTTTTGATGTTTGCATTGGTATCCGTGGCAACCCCTACATGACTTCTGTTGATAAATAATTTTAATGGACAAAGAAAAGGCAGGTGTGATTTTCACAGACTTTAAATTCCAGAGTAACAGATATTCGTGAAAGAGAAATCTAATTGATAACACAGAAATTATTAAAATTTATCACTGTGAAAAGCAGGTATGCAGTAGTCAGAGTCCATTTTCCAGGGGCATAAAAAAAGTAAAAAGTAAAGCTACCCTGTAACAGGCCATGAAGGCCCAGAGGGTTGTGAGACATTGAGGGTCCCACATTAGCTAGACAGTCGGCTCAAATATGGCGTCAGCCTTACACGCTGGCTGCGCTTTACTCTCCAGGAAAATTATTTAATTAATTCTTGGTACTCATTTCTGTTAGTGAAAATGAGATGATAAGGGATTTCTTGAGTGGCTTCTTAACCCTCAACTTTCCAAGGAAATCGTCACAGCATTGTTGTAGTTTCCTGGGTAAAGTTGATAAGAGCATAGTGTACATGTCAAAAATATACCTGTTTCAGAAGGCAACGTGGGATATCATGATAAAGGACGTGCTGCAGCTGAAACCAGACAGTCCTTGGCTGATGTTAGTATAGTATCGGTCTCTTCCAATTTGCTACTCAGACTTCATGGTGCTTTCATGATTGGAGCCTGGATTGGTGCTGCTGGAATTGGGATTTTGCTGGCCCGTTACTTCAAGCAGACCTGGGTTGGAAACCAGCTTTGTGGAAAAGATCAGTGGTTTGCAGTAAGTTATCCTGCATCAGGTTCAGAATTTGTGAAAATGTGAGTACAGGGTTACTGGCTCTCATATTTGGTATCTAGACTCCTGGTACTGGGATTCAGATTTGGTCAGAACTGGTGAATCTCCAGATTTGATACATTTTATACTTTCATATTTGTTGTAGATCTAATTTATTTATTTAGTGAAGTTCTAAATTACATAGGTCTGCAGAGAAATAGGACAGTGGAGGATGGTCTGGTTTTTATTTTCTGAGACATCACCAGTGCAACAGACATCAATGTTGTTGGAAGTTATGTGTGAAATTCATCACATTCTCTTGTCATGAACAATTGAAAGAACTCTATGTCACATGATCTTCTTTGAACATTTTAAAATTACTTACCTGGTCAAGGAAATGCTTGCTTTTATGTAACCAGATATTATCAGAAGTTCTGTCTTCTGGGAAATCATGCCATGTAGTCCACTGAAAGTCAACTGAAATTACAGAGGAATGTATCATCTCCATCTTTAGGGTCAAAGAATAAGTCAAGCAAGAAACCAGAGGGAAAGGAGGTGGAAAGCAGAGCAATGCCTGCTTTCCCTCTGGTTTCTTGCTTGGCTTATTCTTCAACCCTGAAGATGGAGCTGATGTGTTCCTCCAGAATTACCAGTTCACTTTCAGTGGACAGTTCGATGTTATATCCCCAGAAGGTACAATTTTTCAAAACTACAACTGTGAGAACCTTAAATCCTACAAAGATTTTCAGTATCGAGAAATGCATGCCATTGGAACTTGGAATAACACAGTTCTGTCCATTCCACACCTTCACATTCTGTCACTCAAAAATCCATTTTAATATGAAACTTCCACTTGAGCCTAGATCTCTTATAGTGTCTCTTTACTTCAGATTTTCTGACCAGATAATCTTTATCTGTTGTTTCCCACATGAATGGTATGTACTCTTACTTATAACTGAACTGACCCCAATTTTTATAGTGGCATTTCTTTTACACCAGATATAGTGTGTATACTGCCATGGCTTGAACCCCATGAAAACAAGTTGCACCATGTGAAGCTGCGACTGGAATTCAAGTAAAAGATGCTGTAAGAAGTGAATCCTACCACTTCACTCTTTGAAAAAAGGTTTTAGGAATATTTGAATAATAAAAGTCAAAGAAGTGTTACGATGATTTCATTTCAGTGGCATCGAATGTTCATGTTGCTGACATGGGGGTTGACAATTGCTGCCTTTGTTCTGATCTTCCTCGAATTGAAAGATTGGTCTGCCGAGGACAATCCACATGCAATTCTTGGATGTGCAACAACAGTGCTAGCATTTGTGCAACCAATTGGAGCAGCTTTTCGGCCACATCCTGATTCAAGACGGCGACCCATCTTCAATTGGCTCCATTGGCTTGTTGGCAATGTGGCACACATACTTGGCAGTAAGCACATTACTCCGATATTTATTCAGATACCGTATAGTGGTACTTGTGTGACCCCATTCAGATTATTCATCATCTGGGCTGGGATTTGAAACTGGGAAGTCCCAAATATGAACAAAGCCTACTTTACATAACGTCGTATATAAACTGAGTTTTTCATGTATGTAATAGACCATTAGTTAAATTTCGGTGAAATTCAACTTCTTCACATAGTATTAGTTGGCTGGTAATATTTCTAACCTAGTTCATGTGAAGCCATAAGTGGACTTTTTCATGTACAGTATTTCTTACACTGTTTCAGAAACTCTGTTCAAATTTGATGATTTGTATTATTATTCTGTTGAAATCTGGATTTTGCTTGTTTTGTCTGATGGAATTCATGTTTTGGTAACATTCCATTTAAATATCATCTGCAAGTAAGCTTAATAAACTGCAAAGACTGTTGGAAGTTTTGTACTACATGGAGTATACATTTCCAGGCCATTTAACCGAGACAGACATGAGGAAGATACTTGTAGTTGGCAGTGCATAGATCTGATCTCGCTTGGAGTTACTTACTGAGTAGATAAATTTGTTCTAGCAAATATTATTAAGGTTTTAACTGTATTATTTGTATTAATCATTAATATTAATTTTGGCACTGTTCCTTTATGCTTAATTTCTTCTTACAATTGTGAACTGAGTCCACAAATTACATAAAACTAAATATGTGTCTCCTGAGTATACGTGGTGTGTTCAAAAAGTATCGAACCTTTGGTCGGCAGAAAAACATTAATTGATTTGGAGGTACAAAACCCTAATCCCCTTCAAAGTAGTCTCCTTGGTAATGCACACACTTCTCCCAGCGCTTCCGCCATTGTTGGAAACACTTCTGAAAAGCGTCTTTTGGAATGGCGATCAGCTGGGCCATCACATTCCACATGATGTCTTCTCTTGACTCAAATCGGGTTCCTTTCAGCGGCATTTTTAGCTTGGGAAATAGCCAAAAGTCACACGGAACCATGTCGGGGGAGTAGGGAGCCTGACGAACCTCAAGGATGTTGTGT